TGATGAACTGTACTATGTAGATCATCCTTTGTCAAAAGAAAATTTTTTTTAATTTTTGGAGACAGGGTCTCACTATAGAGTTCTGGCTGGACTTAACTCCCTATGAAGCCCAGGCTGGCCTCAAACTCACTGCAATCTTCCTGCCTCAGCCTCCTGAGTGCTGGGATTACAGGCATGCACCACTACACCTGGCAAGAAAAACTTTTTTAAAATGTAAAGGCAATTCACAACTGGAGAAGATATTTATAGTGGTAACTTACAGATCTTATCTAAAATATGTGAAGAACTCCCATAAATCAGTAAGAGAAGCCATTTCAATAAAAAGAGGCAAGAGATGAAAACTCTATAAAAGAGGGTGTCTAAATAACTTACGTGAAACACACCCAATCCCATCAGTAATCAGGAACGTGCAAAGTAAAACTACAATAAAATACTGTATTATTGAAAATACATAAATTATGTAAATTAGTAAAAACAACCTTGGAAAAGAGTTTGACATTATCTATAAAAATTAAAGAACACGCATAAACTCTATGACTCAGAACTCCATCCACAGATACATGTGCCCAGCAGTAATAAGGGAAAATGTTTATTTGTACCACTCTGTAAGATCCAAACTGTAAATGACCCAAATATCTACCAGTAATAGAGTGGATGAATAAATCATGGTGAGTTTATACAATGGAATAATACATGGCAATGAATAATATAACACACGAATAGATAAGTCACACACAACATAGATAAAGCTCACAGAAACAATGTTTAGCAAAAGAAGCCAGACACAAAATAATACATATAAGCTATATTAAAATTTAAAAATAGCCAAAACTAAATTACAGTGCATAGGGAGCATGCTTAAGTAGTAAACATAAAAAAAAACAACAAGGCTGGGGGATGTAGCTCAGTGGCGGAGTGCTCGTCTGGCACACACAAGGCCCTGGTTTCAGTCCCAGGGAATGACCAGAAAAAGCCAAAAAGGTAAACACATGAAACAGGACAGTGGCTGCCCTCTGAGGGGAGGGAGTCACAGTGACTGCAAGGGGCCACAGAGGGTTCAGAGGAGTTACCATAGTGCTGGAAACCTTCTCTTTCCTTCATTTTTGAGGGGGGGCATTTCTGAGACAGGGTTTCAGTATGTGGTTTAGGCTGGTCTCAAACTCACTATGTAGCCCAGACTGCCCTCAAATGCTGGATTACAAGCAACTACCACCATGCCCGGCAATTCTGTACTTCTTGATCTAGTTACACAGTTGTTCTCTTTATTACTTATATTTTTTTGTTTTAGGTTTGTTTGTTTTGCTCCCCCCCTCCCCCGGTATCGGGAATCGAACTCATGACCTCGTGCTTGCCAGGCAGGCAGGCGCTATGCCGCTGAGCTAAATCCCCAGCCCCTTTAGTTTGTTTGTGACAGAATCTTTCTCTGTAATTCACGCTGGCCTTGAACTAACCATGTTGCCAGGCTAGCCTTGAACTCATGGTGATCTTCCTGCCTCAGCCTCCCAAGTGCTGGGATTACAGGAATATACCACTACACCCAGCAGCTGCTCTCTTTAAATAAATCCATAGCTGTGTATTTTTGTTTCAAGCACTTTTCTTGATTTGTTATATTTCATATCACAATAAGAAGGTTGAAAAAAAGACTCAAGGAGCAGGTTTTAACCACATTAGATAAAGCTAAAGAAGACAAGAGGGCCAAAGGTGGTGATACACACCTATACTCACAGCTACTTGGGAGGCTGAGGCAAGAGGACTGCAAGTTTGAGCCCAGCCTGGGCAACTTTGCATCATCCTGTCTTAAAATAAAAAAAAAATAAAAAAGGCTTAGAACATAGCTCAGTGCTCTCTGCATTCAATCCCCACTATGGGAGATGAACTGTGACCTGAAGAAATTGTGCAGAATGAATCCAGAGACTAAGGTACATTGACCTAAGAAAGAAATTACCAAACACTAAGCAGGCGAGAAGTCGAGAACATATCCAATCAAACACTAGCAAGAAAGAAGAAAATAGGATAAAGGCAAACTTCACACAAAATCTTAAAACTGATGAAAGATATCAATCCTTATATCCAGACATCACTCTTAAGTCCAAGCTGGACATGAAGAAAAAACAACAACATCTAGACAGCACGCGAATCTTCAGAACCACAAACTCAAAAGAAGAGTTTGAAAAGAGGTATAAAAGTTGTATTACCTACGAAGAATCAATACAGCAACAATTGCATTCAACAGCAAGAATGGAAGCCAGAAAACAACGGAATGCGATCTTGAAAATGTTAAATTGATAAACTGGGTCTTTTTTTTTTTTTTTCCCCAGTACTGGAGATCAAACCCTGGGATGCTTTACCACCAAGCCACACCCCCAGACCTTTTCACTGTTCTGCGTTGGAACAGTACCTCACTAAGTTATCCAGGCTGCCTCAAATTTGCAGTCTTCCTACCTCAGCCTCCCAAATAGCTAGGATTACAAGTGTACAGCACTGCACTGGGTGACAAGCTAAAATGTTATACCTAGAAAACTATCATTCAAGACTAAAAGCAAAATGAAGACGTGTTTAGAACAACAAAAATAGTTGTTATCAATGGGCATCAAGAAATGAACTTCTAGGGGCCGGGTTACAGCTCAGGGGCACAGTGCCTGCCTGGCAAGCACAAGGTCCTGAGTTCAAGTCCTGATACCAAAAAAAAGAAATGAGGAAGCATTGGGAACCAGGGAGAGGACAGTGTAGGGGGAGAAAAGCAAGTAAAAAAGGGTAGAAAGGGGGCTGGGGATTTAGCTCAGCGGTCCAGCGCCTGCCTGGCAAGCACAAGGTCATGAGTTTGATTCCCGGTACCAGAGAAAAACCAAAAAAAAAAAAAAAAAAAGGGTAGAAGGGAAGGTGGGTGTGATCAGTGCAGGATATATGTAAGGAAATATCACAGTGAAACCCATCCATCTGTATAAGTAACATGTGTTCATCAAGAAAAAAATAAATAAATGTCTAAAAAGTGACCTTCAGAAAGGAAGTATGAGATACAAGGAAAGATAGGCAAAGAAAACAAACTCTGGTAAATCTATACCAATACTGAGCAAACAAAACCAAAAGCAGTCAGGGCCAAATACATACACAAAGGTGAAGGGCAGCAAAAGAGAGACCGGAATGCAAGGACAGATACAGCAGGTGTGGACTTGTTCGTGACGTTCTCCTGACAGCAACCGAGGGAAGCAATCCTATCTGAAGGGAGATTGGCATCAAGCAGGAGCTCAACACACATCGAAAGTCAAGATGAAGAGAGCTTTGAGCCATGTGCCATTTACCATATCTAGAACTCATTAAGCCGACTGCCATTCTATCCACTTCGGACTTCCCGTTACTGCTGAAGTTATACTCCATGCAGTTGGAATACTTAGTGTTTGAAAATGTGAATTTCCTAATGTAGCATCATTGAAATCCTCATGTTACCTTTCTATTGTTGTTGACGTAACTATTATAGAATAGACTAAAAGCACCCCATCCTTCCTTGATGGTCTAAAGGCATTTGTATACGCAAACACTACTACTGCTGACATACCCTCAGAGCTGAGCATGGTGGTGTGCACCTATAATCCCAGCACTCTGAGAGGCTGAGGCAGGAGGATCAAAAGTTTGAGCCCCGCCTGGGCACCTCAGCTAGATTCTGTATCAAAACTTAAAATTTTTTAAAAACTGGGGACATAACTCAGTACAAAGGCCCTACGTTCAGTATCTACTACAAGAAAAGATATTAAAAAAAAAAACCCTCAGGAGCTTTTTCCCTGGTCATCACTGTGTTGGCATCTGGAAGCCTGTCCTGCCAACCTGTGATTTAGCGGCAGCCATGCTGCTTAGCCTTTCACGACATTTCCTGGATCGTGGCTATATTCTAGATAGCCAGAAGATGTATCAGAGAATTCTGGCAAAGTGTTACACTGAGTTAATAAAAGATGACAACTAAGAACTATTTACATTTTTAATCTCTAGGAATCTCAATGACAGAAGAGCAAATTTACTTATTTTTCTCCTCCAGTTTTTTGAGGCAAGGTCTCACTATGCAGTTCAGGCTGGCCTTGAACTCACTATGTAGCATAGGCTAGCCTCAAGCTCACAGCAATCATCCTGCCTCAGCTTCCTGAGTGCTGGGATCACAGGTGTGCACCACCACCCAGTGGATTTACCATATTATCCTCATCCTGACTATGTAACAACTCCCCATAAGTGACACTATTAGAAAAATTAACCAGGTTGTTTAGAAAGCCCTGGGCTCAAATGCGGGTTATTAGCTCTGTGACCTGCAGCACATGACTACACCTGTTTACGCCCCTGTTTCCAACCTGTAAGGTGAAATAAGAATATTCTACCTAGGAGTACTGGAAGGCAGCTATGCTCACCACTATACCACCAACGCCTTACCTAGGAGTACTGGGAAAAGGAGATGAGATGACGCAAGCACATCAGCACCGTGCATGGCTTAACTTACAGTAAGTTCATTTAAATGTTCACTTATCTCTTTAAATCCTAATTCAAGTAATAATTCCAATTTAAGTAGGACGTCTTAACTAACTTCTCCATGGCATCCTTATGAGAAGGCTATTAAAATATTAGTCATAGTTACTACTGAATAAGCACGTATCAAGTGTTAAAACTGTGCTGAAACCTTTACACGGATTATCCCCTTGAATCCTTAGAAAAGGCATGGAGGCTGCGAACTTCGCATCCCTATTACAAACAAGCACGCTGCTTCTCAGAGAGCTAAGGAGAGAGCTGCGCCAGCTCACAGAGCACACAGCGAGGACGGACACACGCAGGTCCCTTCCACTCTGGGACAGAAACACTCAGAGAGAATCCCGAGAAGGGAGCAGCTTCCCCGCCTAAAATTTACTTACAGACAAGTTGAGAACAAGCTAATTCACTTTTCATCTATTCTCTACTGACCGTCTAGGGCTCCCAGTCAGAAAAACAGAAGAGGATTTTTTTTTTTAATTTTTACATTTTTAACTTACCCACTCACAGTCAATTCCAAGCACTGGAAAATCTTCTAACTCTCTCCACAGCAAGGGCTGGACCTGATCCCACTCTGCCTCCTGGGACACTGTCACCACCTTTGCCTGGAGGATCCTCTCCTCCCAGGAGGGTCTAGGAGCGCCAGAGGGCAGCTGGTCCTCTTCTGCAGGGGAGGGCGCCGTCCTGCCTGGCGCTTGCTGCTGTGGCTGGGGCTGTTCCTGGGTCACAGGGCCTGTCTTCCTCCGGCGCCGGATGCCTCGCCACAGGACAAGCCCCCCCACCGCCACACCCAGCAGGGCGGTCACCGTCACAGCCGTCAAGCTCTGTCTAGACATGTTCCACCTTTCACTGCTTAGGAAAACATTTCACTAATCCCACACTCTGCAAAACAAATGGCAAACATGTATTTACATACAGAATATAAAGGTCTGTGTAAATAAGTTTTCCCCTAAAGAGTTCCATTTATAATCCCCTGTGCTTACAAACTAAAATATCTGCTACAAAATTCCACATGAATCGCTAATATATATATTTTTTTTTTGGTGCTGGGAATCGGACTCAGGACCTTGCACTTACCAGGCAGGCGTTTCTGCCACTGAGCTATCTCCCCAGCCAGGGAATATTTTAATTATTGTCGTTTTTTTAGTTTTTTATTCTCTCTCTACTTTTAGTCATGCCTAGGACTCTTTTAATGACAGAAAATACCGATCAAAACAGAATAAGCTAGACTCTTACTTGGGGTTATTAGCAAATGAACTTTTTAGCTAATGGTCACTAAAGTGTTCTTTAAAGTGTTTGCACTTTAAAAACTTTAACCTCTTACCAGTTAAATGAAACCTGTATTTCTCAATTCAATAGAGACCCTTAGCCGTCAGGGAGTTGGGAGGAAGGCTGTTCGCTCCTCTGGAAGCTGTGGGCGCGGGGGAGGGAAGGAGCCAGGCCTTCCTGTCAATCCTGAAGTCACAGCAGATCTCCATAGAAACCGATGCAGCGGCTGCAGAGTGAGACAGTACAACACAAACGGGAAGAAGCAATTGGGGAAGAAAAAGAAAAGAATGGCACTTAGAGATCCCAGACGCCCAGGAGGAGGTTTCAACCGAAATGCCCACGTCCAGGTGGTTAACGTGAGTGAACAAAGCACGCCATACAACGGTCCCTTTTCTATTACGTCACCTGTAGCTTTCACCATGCATCCTTTGTTTTACCTTTTTTTGTGTCTTTTTGAGACAGGGTCTCACTATGCAGCTCAGGCTGGCCTTCAGCTCACTTTGTAGACCAGGCTGGTCTCAAACTCGCAGCAATCCTTCTGCCTCAGCCTCCCAAGGGCTAGGATTACAGGCAACCACCACACCCGGCTATGTTTTACCCATTTTTGAGCGATGCATGAGTATCCAGTACTACTTCAGGGCTGTTTTAAAAACTCAGTAGTAATGTGATAATAAATGGTAAGTTGCCCTCACCTCAGGGGTAAGGAGGACTTGAGCAGTGACCACTTGGCACAGCTGCATGGGAAGCCGGCCCAGCATAGTTAGGTACTGAGCTTTATTCAAGAGAACTCAAGGATCTGAACTACACAGGAAATGCCACCACTCTTAAATGTCAGCAACAAATGTATAGTTTCCTAAAGCATTGTGTCAGCCCAACAAAAACAAGCCTCCCTGTTTCTTGGAAGCTGCGCTACCCATCTGTGGGCTCTGGCCTGAAATCTAAATTGCCCAAAGACAGCAGTCTGTGGCGCCTGCCTGACGCCACATCTCTGTGACTTGGGGTTCCGACTGAACGTGCACTGTTCTAACCTTGCTCTTACTGTTTTACAATGTCACAGCCCTGAATTATATCTCATGTCTACAGAGATACCGGGCTATTAGAAATGAAAAACAGAATCACAGTAACTACTACAACAAGAATGAAATACGCTAATAGGTATACTGGCGGTTTTTTTGTTGTTGTCATTTTGAGACAGGGTCTCTCTATGCAGTTTAGGCTGGTCTTGAACTTACTAGGTAGCACAGACTGGCCTCGAACTTGCAAAGATCCTCCTGCCTCAGCCTCCTGAGTGCTGGGCCTACAGGCATGCGCCACCACGCCCAGCTGGGTTTTTAAGAATTTATTCTATATATTGTGCTAAGTATTTCATATGTATTTTCTCTTATATTCCTATTGAAGATGAATCAGACTTAATGAAATTAAGTAACTTTTGTAAGAGGAGGAAAAGGAGTGGAGAAGCAACAGGTAAAGCAGGGAGAAAATGAGAAGGAAGAAGAGAAGGGAATCATGAGGCACCAGACATGGAAGAGGGAACCACAGCAGGCGGGAGGTGAAACTGGGCAGAGAGCGGAACTCACAGCAGCCCAGGCATGGGTTCCATCACCAGCCTAGGGACAGAAGTCTAGGCCACATGCTCAGGGCACACTGGGACCCAGCGAAGTGCTGCCCTGTCCGTGAATAGGGACCAGGAAGCGTCCACCTACTGTGGTCCAGGACTTTACAGGATGGGAGTCTGACAGAGGCCCCAGTGTAGGACAGACCCTCAAGTCTGCAGGCGGGGCAGGTACAGGGCCCTTACAAGAAGAAACGTGCGGTCAGGAAACGAAATTAAAACTCATTCCGAACTGGTAGACTCAGCCGGAACTGGGCAGAACCCACTGTAACTGCGCCATGCATGGGTCATATCTCCCGCACGGGCCATATCTCCCGCACGGGCCATATCTCCCGCACGGGCCATATCTCCCTCACAGGCCGGATCTCCCGCACACGCAGGGCTTCCACAGCAGGCACGTTCCTAGATGAGGGCTCACAGATGAAGTAAAACCCAGCAAAACACCACACCCAATAAGCACCGTTCACAGAGCCAAACACAACTTCCTCACCTGGCTTTAAGAGATATTCAGAAACATCTCTTAAGGAAGATATGCAGACATCTTAAGGAAAAATAATCACTCAAACAAGCAGGAAGCAAAAAATGAAAAGAAAGTCTAGGTATAAAAAGTATTTTTAAAAATTTTTTAAAAACTCAATATTCAATAGACAGGTTAAACAGTTGATCAGATACACACAGTAGGCCAGGGATATAGCTCAGCGGCACAACGCCTGCCTGGCAAGTGCAAGCTCCTGAGTTCGATTCCAGGTCAAAAAAAAAAAACATACACACTGAGTTACTGAATTGAAGATAAATCTGTGACTGCTGGAGCTTTCGTGTGGACCAGCATTCTTAACCATCACCATTTCTGTTGCCACTCCTGTCTCTGAAGTCTTTCAGTAACACCGGAGTTAATGGAAACTTTGTGAAGCCAAGCCTTCAGGCGTACGTGACTTGGGTGAAGAATTCATGGGATCAAATCACTGACAGCTGTGTTGCCAATGGGCTACAAGCAGGCTGCATAGGCAAGAAACGCTCGCTCCAGGGGAGCTCTACTGCTGGACATGAGAGACTGGGACCAACGGTTCCACAGGAAATGGAGATGAAATAAATTCAGGTCAGAATTCAGGGTCTGCAGAGTTACAACGATGTTCCAGAAGAGGATATGACTGTGTTTGAGTAAGTGTAGATCTCGGTACACGATTAAATGAGTAAATGTAGATTGTTATACACACAAAAAAACAAGACATCCCCTGAAAATAAGCCTTCTTGCGATTTTTCGAGCAAAAATTAATATAAGACCCAGTCTTATTTGGGGGGGAATGCAGTTTAGGGAACTACAAATCAAAGCCACAGTGAGACACCATTTCACAACCACTAAGATGGGTCTCACAAAAATTTTTAAAAACAGATAATTTAAAAAACATGACCATTAAGTGTTGGCAGAAATTAGAACATTCATGCTTGTCAGTAGAAATGTCGAATAGTGCAGCTGCTCTGGAAAATAGTCTGGCAGTTCCTCAAAAGGTTAAGTATAGATTTGCCATATAATCCTACAAACCCACCCTCAGCTATATACCCAAGGGAATTGAAAATATGCCTGCTGGGCATAGTGGCACACTCCTGTAATCCCAGCACTTGGGAGGCTGAGGCAGGAGGATCACTGTGAGTTTGAGACCAGCCTGGGCTACAAAGTGACTTCAAGGCCAGCCTGAGCTGCATAGTGAGACTCTGTCTCAAAAACAAACAAACAAAAAAAGAAAATACGCCTGCACAAAAGTTCATACCAAGCTGAACACACACCTCTAGAGACTCTCAGTTACTTCAGGAGGCTGAGCCAGAAGTTAAACCACAAGTTTAAGGCCAGTTTGGGTAACTTTGTGGGATCCCGTCTCAAAATAAAAAAAAAATTTTTTTAAATAAGATGTGATATAATTCAGTGGTAGGGCACCCCTGAATTCAGTCCCCAGTACCAATATAAATAAATAAGTAAATAAATAAATAAATAGTTCATAGAGGCACTACTAATACAGTACTATCCCCAAAGTGGAAACAAGGCAAATAAATGTCCATTAGCTGATGAAAGGATACAGAAAATGTAGCATATCTCCATGTTTGGGTTGAACTGTGTCCCTCAAAAAGGTATGTTGAAGGGGTCAGAGATTTAGCTCAGTGGCGCAGCACCTGCCTGGCAAGCGTGAGGTCCTGAATTTGATTCCCAGCACTGCCCCCCAAAAAGGATAAGTTGAAGTTCTAACCCCAGTGCCTGCCTGTTTCCTATGACTATGATCTCACTCATATTTGGAAACTGGGTCTTTACAGGTGTGATGAAGAAGAGCTCATACTAAAATGAGGTGGGACACTAAGCCAGTACAGCTGGTGTCCTATAGGAAGGGGAGAGGAGACACAGATAGAAGAGTACGTGAAGACACACAGGCATCAGGCCCTGCGAAGACAGAGGCACAGAATGAATGTCACGGACTGTCAACAACCCCCAGAACCAGAGAGAGCCAAGAAGGACTCTCCCCTGGAGCCTGGAGATAGCATAGTCCTGCAGACACCTCTACTGCAAGCTCCATCCTCCAGAACTGCAAGAAAACAGATTCCTATTGTTTTAAACCATCTGGGTTGGGTTACTTTGTCACTGAAGCTCTAGAAAACAAATACACCATAGGATGGAATTTTATTCAGCCATAAAATGGAATGATAGTGTAGATGCTGCAGTCTGCACAAACTTGAAATCACTGTTCAGTCAAAGGAGCCAGTCACAAAACGACACATATTGTGTGATTCCATTTATGTAAACATCCAGGTCTGTGGCTGCCCAGGGCTGGGACGTTAGGGGAGGTGGGAGTGGGCAGTGACATTTAATGGGTGTGGGGTTTTCAGAAATAATAAAAATGCTCTGAAATTAGATTGTGGTGATGGTGGCATAACTCTAAGAATATACTAAAAGTTCCTGAATCGTACATTATGAATAATGAATTGTATCATGTATGAATTACATCTGAATAAAGCCATAAAAAGTATTCTGACAAGTTGATTAAAAATCATCTGAGCTGGGCATGGTGACACACACCTGTCATCTCAGCACTCAGGAGGCTGAGGCAAGCAGACTGTCACAAATTCGAGGCAACCAAGGCTATACTGTGAGTTTAAGGCCAGCCTCAACTACATAGAAAGACCTTGACTCAAAACACCTCTCCCCCAAAAAATATAAAATATTCTGGAAAACCAGGAATAGCCAAAAATATTGCTTTTAAAATAAGGGAGCACATACGCTGAAAAACCATACGACTTCCAACAAAATAATTACATAGGAGTACCTGTCCTACTAAATTGAAAGTATGAAGTACAGTCTATGTAGGATGTTTGGTACTGGGGTTCAGTAAAATAAATAATTGGGCCACAGAATACAAGAAAACCCAGAAACACATCTGGGTGTGAGAAATTAGTACATAAATGTAGCATTTCAAATTAATGGCTCCAGAGCTAGGTGTGTCGGTACACACCTATAATCCCAGCACTCAGAGGCTGAGGCAGGAGGTCACGAGTTGAAGGCCAGCCTGGGCTACACAGTGAATTCAAGGCCAATTTGGATTATGTAGGGAAATCCTGTCTCAAAAAAAATTCAAAAATCAAATTAATGGTTCAAAATTGGACTAAATACTCAAGGAGATTCTGCTTAGAAAATAGTAGTTACACATACACACCAATTCTAGAGGAATTAAAGAAAAACAAAGTATGTAAGAATTTAAGACGGGCGTAGGGGCACACACCTGTAGTCCCAGGTTGGACTTAGAAGGCTGAGGCAGGAGGATCTTTGCAAGTTCTGTGATCAGCCTGGGCTGCAAAATGAGCTCAAAGCCAGACTGAACTGCATAGCAAGAACCTGTCTCAAAAAAAAAAAAAAAAAAAAAAGAATTTATAGAGCAGGGCATGGTGGCACAGGACTGTAATCTTGGCACTCGGGATGCTGAGGCAGGAGTTCAAGGCCAGCCTGCACTACATGACAAGACCCTGTCTCAAAAAACACAAACAATAACAAAAAAGAATTCATAGGGGAAGATATAGTTGAGAAAACTCTGCTCTGCCTTAGAGTAGAGCAAACTATTTCAACCTCAGCATGGCTGGCCTTTCAGATTGGAAAACTTCCATGTTGGGAGCACTGTGCCATGCACCGCAGGGCAGTAAGCAGCATCCCTGGCTTCCGTCTGCCAGGTGCCAAGGGCAGCACCATCTCAGCTGGGCAACAAAACAGTGTCCTCAAGACATGGCCAATTGGCCCTGGGGGACAAAACCTCTCCCACTTGAGAACCACTGGGTACGGAATGTCAGCCATAAAATACAAATACAACCAGAACAGACTGGGAAGTGTAAAGATAAAATGTAAAGAAAAGCAGTAACTTTAAAAAGGAGCAGGTGGGAGAACGGCGAGGCAGGCCTATCACTCTAGCTACTCAGGAAGCTGCAGCCACACCAAAACAATTTAGGATTTGACGCGAGGCTGTCTCAAAGTGAAAAATGGGGGCGTGGTGGCGCACAACCGTAAGGAGGATCACTGTGAGTTCCAGGCCGGCCTGGGCTACCAGGTGAGCTCAAGGCCAGCCTGAACTGCAGAGCGAGACCCTGTCTCAAAAAGAGCCCCCCAAAAGTGAAAAATAGGCTGCCACTGCAGCTCAGTGTGAAGGCCCTGGATCCAGTCCCCAGCAGTGCAGAAAGACTCGGGGAGCACAGACGTAGTTCAGTGGTAGAGCACCCATGTAGCATGTGCAAGGCTCTGGGTTCAATCCCCAGTACTAAAAAAAAAAAAAAAAAGTAACTACACATGAACAACCATTCAAACTCACCAGTAATTAGGGGAATACAAACTAAAATAATGAGAAATCATTTTCCATCTGTAAGACTGTCAAAAATAAAAAAAGACTGACCAAATGTTTAAAGGAGCCTCGGGTAAAATAAGCATTATGATGCACTATTGGTAGGCAGTTCAGCCACA